ATGATTTACCTTTTTCGAAAATATTTCGCCAAATCAGGGTTTTCCATTGCTTAGTTTCCGGGTGCGAGTACCTATTGAGTCAAATTTCCTTGTTTCATTGTTCTCAAAAGCTGAAAGATCTGAAAGAAACATCCAACTTATGATAGTGATATTATTTCTAGTGTGACTTGATATGATTTGATATCATATTTCCACCGGCTGTACTTGGAATTGGCAAAATACACCCCCGTTTCGCCTTCGGTCTCCAAGGTGGTGAAAGATTGCAGAACATTCGAATGCCTTGAACCACGAGAATCTGCTGGCCAAGCGGCTGAAGCTTTCGTAAATGGTGGATTGAAGACAACGATTTCAGGAATTTGAATCTAAGTTGACAAAAATGGCAATGTAATTCTATCATATTCTATCATTATCATCTCACAGCAAAGTCACAGTGCTATACACGGCACAAGTCTGGTGTTTCTGGACAGAATCATCTGTGCGCTGCCTCAAAGTTTTTGAGACTTGATCTTCATTCTTTGCAGCCACAACCTGCACATGGCAGCATCACTTTCGATTTATCACTGCTACTTTCAATCATCCTGAAGGCCTGTGTCTTGGAAATCCCTTGCGACAACATCACGCGACCGACGCGACAACGCATGTTTTGACGTGAAAACTGTGAAAGGCTGACCTCGAGACATTTTTTGGAGTCCAGTCCAGTCCTCAGGCCCCCTCCAGTGACAAGTTAGCTAAGCCTATCTGATGATATATCGCCCATACATGCTGGTTGGCCTGGTTGAACCAACTTAACTTACCCATCCTTTGGGGGGGCCCTTCCAAACGTGCGTAAAAACAACAGCAGCCTTAGCTGGATCCATGTCCTTCTTTGGACACATGAAAACAGACACGGCGCTGCCATCGCTTTTCTTTTGACCTCAACGATCAGCGAAACATCACAGAATTTCAAGAGTTTACCTCAGAATGTGGGAAACACTGTGGGTTTGGAGGTCCATGATTTTGAGATATTTTGAGTCTGAATTTCAGAACATGACCATTCCACAAAGCTCAATCAAGAGTAGCAGCTCAGCAATGACAAAAGAACTGCAGCTGCCTTTGTGAAGCAACATGCATAGATTGATGATGGTTTCCTTTAAAATTGTCGTCCGTTTCTGAGCACACTCATACACAAAACTTGAGAGGGGGGGGACGAAAGGTAGGGGGGGGCAAAAGAGAGCAACAGGAAAAATATTGCCAAACTGAGATTGATACTTCTCTTCACTCAAACCTCCTGCAGAAGAAAATGTTAGCGACCCAAAAAGCTTTGTGGGAATAGAATCAGAAACATAATGTCAAATGTAAAGTAACTTCACGCGCGTGAACCATCCTGCATGCAGGTGCTTCTCCGCGCGCGCGCGGCGCGCGCGCGCGCGCGAGCGCACGCATGTGCGGGACGTAAACATTGCGAGTCTCTATTCCCCGGCACGGCCTCAATGGGACTAGAACATCCACGATAGATCGATAGATCAATACATCGATAGATAGATAGATAGATAAAACTATAAATAAATAAATAGATGAATAAATAGATAGAGAGATAGAAGCATCGATCGATAAATAGATAGATCGATGGCTACCTTGATCGATAAACAGATAGATAAATAGATAGATCAATAGGTAGATAGATAGATAGATAGATAGATAGATAGATCCAAGGATAGATAGATAAATACATGCATAGATGGACAACTAGATAGATAGATCGATAGATAGATGGATAAGGAGGTAGGTACAGAGTCAGAGAAAAAGAGAGAGAAAAAAATGCGGACCAGGGGGGAATCGAATGGGGGGGGGAGGGGGGGGGCCCCCCCCCCCTAAGTCTCCGTTCGTGACTCTCGGCTTTCAATTTCCGGGAAAGGAGCAGCCACCTCCCCCAGTACTAAACTAGTACTAAAGTACATAGAACTCAGGTAGCCTAGGCTACCTTTCGTGATATGTGGATGCCAGGGCCCTAAATTCTGAGTGTGCGAAAGACATCCAGGCAGATTATGGCATCGATTATGTTATATATATACACATATATATATATGTGGCATATTGCCAAGAAATTGCCAACGTAAGCTAATGTGTTCATATAATTCAGAAAGGCTCTGTGCAACAAACCCTTTGGTAAATTCCAAACTCTATGCAACTGCTCCATGCAACAGCCCAATGCTAAGCCAAGGGCATATGCTATCAGCACTGCAGCACCCCACATGTCAATGCCTGGCTCACTGGGCAATAGCAGCTCAGTGCTCTAGGGCCTACAACCCTTGGCTCAATCACACATTCATAAGGCGCAAAGTCTCAGTCTCCTCCAGAAGCCAAATCCAACCTCCCTGCTCCTTCTTCTATCAATGAACACTAAAAACTTAAGGGATTTAAGGGGGGAAAAAAATGATTGTTAATCATTTCAAATCATCATATTTCCCACCAAAATTCTTCGCCATTTTCACACACCCTGTCCCAAAGGGCAGGAAAGTCGAACCTGCGGTTCGCACAAATGTTGGGATATGTTTCCTTTACTCCATGATTCACCCATGTTTCATCCATGTTCATTGCGTAGAATCATCTAAGACACATTTAAAAAAAGAACAAGTCACACCCATGAACGAACACTTAAAAATCAGTTAAAGACGAAAAAAAATATGAGTTTGAATTAAAAACCATGAAAATCCAATACGAACATTGGATTCGCTGAGTCCCAAACAATCACTGGGGATTGTGGAGGAAGAAGTACTTTCAAGTGAATGCTGACCTGCCATGAGAAGAGTTGCATCTTGAGGACTTTTTGACTTTGTCCAGAGTCCAGAGCAGGTCCATTTTTTTCATCAAAGGTTTCAACCTTGCCGCTCAGCGGAGCCTGCTCGTTCTGTGCAGGAGCGAGAAAACTCGCAAGGATCCAGAACACATGGCTGCCAGAAGGCAATTGTCACCTCAATACATGGACAGTCAAACTATTGAGGTGGGTAAAATTGCGAGTTGATATCTCTTCCCCCTGGAGATGCTATGACACATATGATTTCATGTCTCAATGGCCGCAAGTCACAGTGCAATTCGTGTTTTGAACAATATCTGAAACAAATGCTAACACACCTTGGCGAAATCCGAATATTGCGCTGCTCACCAACTGCCAGCCCGCTACCCTTTGAGTTAAAATCAGAAACAATACCTGAGCCCAACGCTCGCTGCGGGCCATGCGAATCAAACGACATCTCAGGCCTAAAAGTCCATCATCACAACGGACCGGGCCAAGGACAGGCATGTTCGACGGCGACGTGCATCTCGATCTACTATCTTGCATCTATATTGCATCTATCTTGCATAGGCTTGCTAGTTTGAAGATGTTTGAAGATGTATAATTACACCATGATGTAACGACCCTATCGATGTGCAACCTAGGGTAATGACACTGGGGATGACTTTACAAGTAGGATGATCAAATGGTTTCTTTAATATGGTAATGCATTGAGAGTTTCTATGATTTCGATTGCCCTGTGCTCTTTGAATGTTCATCTTTCGAATTGCTGATCTTCTGATTCCGTTCAAATTCCATGAATGTCTGGAGGCCATGCTGGCGACGTCTACTCCTGCAAGCTTGGGCCATCAACGATCTAAGTGCGACTTTGACTGAGCTTCGGCCGCCATCACTGTGGAAGATGTTCACTGCAGGAAGGGTTCCAAACTCACTCTCTCCCAGGGGTCGGCGGCAGGGGGCGTAGCCCCTTAATAATATATATTTATATATAATGTGTATATATATATATATACTGTGTATGTATCTATATAATACATATATAATGCATATAATTTTGTGTATATATATAATGTAAACTGTATAATGTATATATTATAATGTATATATTATGATGTACATATTGTAATGTATATATTTTAATGTATATATTATAATGTATATATTATAATGTATATATTATAATGTATGTATTATAATGTGTATATATATATACACACGTCATGCATTCTTATGTCAATGGTGGATGCCGCATCCCAGCCTCCACGATGGCAGAATCTCTCCATTCTGTCTGTCCCATGGCATCAGTGCAACGACTCTGGAGCAAGTCGCGCGCCATAAGGTCCTCAGGGTGGAGGAAAATATTGGTAAATATGGGCAAAAACAATGTCGGTCCAATGTTGTCATCCTGAAAATCACTAAAATCCAATGGATTCTCCCTATGTTGGAATAGTTTCTCATTAAAGGTGCCATAAATTGGGTTGTTGCATGGCTTTGCTGATGAAATCCATGACAAAATCTACTTAATCCACTTCTTTGTTTGCTGATGAATGACCACCTTTGCTGGTGGGCTCCCTGGTTTTGCTTTGCGGATCGTGATCCGTTCCTTGAAGCAGAAGACCGTCATGCGACGGTAGCCCAACATCTCTGCAAAGGCTTGAAGAATCATCGTCTTGCCCACTCCCTGTGAGAGCATTGCATCACTGCCATATGGAAGTTTGCAGACAACTATCGCCTTTCTACAAGTGTGGCAGCACATTGTAATTATGGAAGTGCTTGTAAAACAGGACTTCAATTGCTACATTCCAATGCAACTTTTGGGCGATCTCAAATTCAGATGCCAAGCCATCCTTCCACCTTCAACATAGACACTACAGTAAGTTTGACATGGGAAGCTCTGCCGAACTTGCGTGACCTTCTCGCCCACTAGACACATGTCTATGTCAGCAGCATGATCGTGCATCATGCTGGTGACCTGGCGACATCTCCACTGAGTCCACTGCGGTTTTTGGACGAAAAAAAATATCTGTGTAATTTCTATGTACTAATCTCTATATCTTAAAAGTCACCAGATGAAATATCTAATATCATATCTAATATCTGTTTTTAATATGTTCTATATCTTAAAAGTCGCAAAAAACATGACACTTCAACCAGCCAGTAGGACAAGTTGTTTCTGCACAGGTGCCAGCTGATCCAAACTCGATGTCAGGTCAGATGCCCTGATCTGCTGCATCTGAAGGAAAATGGAATGACATGTCTGTCTGATATGTCCTATCTAGTCGGGTTTTACATGGTTTTACCATACTGGTCTACTTTCAGGAGCTGAAAGACTCGCTATCTGCAAAATTATCTTTGCTGAGAGTGATCGATACTTCTGACACCATCATTTGATGGGTTTCAAGGCTCCGACGTTCCAGCAACCAGACAAATTTCCTGCTGGCATCTGCTAACATTTGCTGGCATCTGCTAAGTGGAAAGTTGCTGCCAGTGCATGGTGTCCAAAAGGGTCCCTTTTAGTGTCCAAGATCATACTGCAACTGATTTCCACCAAATTTCATCCAATGCCCATGACACAAGCCTTGGCATTTCCGGATGGATCCCGGAAGGTTGCAATAGCAGCGCCTCGGAGCATGAATTCATCTGACAGTTTACGATGGCGAAATATGGCAAAGAAGAAAAATCCACTAGAAAATGGATGAAAAATGGAGTGTAATAATGGAGTAATGGAGCGACATCTGAAAAAAGTATCCAAGAGCAAAAATTGGTTTCATTCATGAAGTGATCAACGATCGTCAACGATGCTCCAGGGTTGTCTTTGCAGTGATTTGGTGATGGCGCTTGGCTCCCTGCCGGAATCAGTACCACGGATAGAGCGAAACTCCGAAACGCCTGGGCGCAAAGGCGAGGTGTAGTAATGCATGGGAGTTGTATGAGTATGTGACAGTATGTGCATAGCGAAAGTCGGCAGACTTGAAATGAGGCATTCCTAGCCCCTACTCAGCTTTATACTTCATGTATCTTTATATACTAATCGCTCCCTCCAACCAGCATGGCTTGTGACCTGCCTTTTTCACGCAGGCCTTGGCTTGCTAGCCCAGTGGCAAGCTGTCCCAGTGCCTCAGTGATTGATAGCACTGCGGCTCCAATACTTTCCACATGTTTTCCTTTGCGATCGCAGCATATCGCAACTCTGTGCCGGGCAGTTGAATTCAGCAAAAGCTCCAGAGGATAACCACGCCTCAAGGGGATCTTTGAGATGCTTGGCATTGCTTGGCATTGCTTGGCATTGCTTGGCATTGCTTGGCATTGCTTGGCATTGCTTGGCATTGCTTGGCATTGCTTGGCTGCTACATCCTCAGGTGCCAACTTCAAGGCCATGAGAGATGATCCGGGGAAAATGCCAAGCAGACCTGACAACTCTGATAGTGAACAAGTTCAAAAAAGTTGAGCTTGTTGATTCAACAAGGCCAGAGTTTCATGCGGGTCAAACATCCAAACCGAAAGCCCCTGTTTTGGGTCAAGTACCCTGCCGTCCACTCACACTATCTTACATGCAATCAACTTTTTTAGCCTCAGCACGTCTCAAGCAGTTCTTCCGCGCGAAAGTACTGATGCTACAGTAAGGTGAAAAAAAATGCCAAACGAAATGGCTCGTGGAACAAGTTGTTCCTGCAAAGCCAGGTTGTTGGGAATTCTCTCGACAAAGCAAATTACTCAGTTGTTGCGGCCAAGTGCCTTGGCCAAGTGGCCAATTGCCTTGCGTTCTGTTCATTGTGCAACAGAGACCACATCCAGTCCTGGCCACTCGAAACATCAGGAGCTCTATTCTACAACCACATTGAACTATACTACATAACTAACTTAACTCTTTTCCCTGGCTGACACCGGCGGACACCCTGTTCGCACCTTGGCCATCTTTGCTGGCAATCAGCCAAGCTGCCTGTTCTTGAAAGTCAGGATCCTGAGCTTCTACGTTGCTTGTACAACTCTTCACACTGTCCACGTTCAAAGGAACGACTTCAGAACATGATTTTCTTCGTCTCCCACATCAGTCCAGCATGGCCTATCTCATCCTGCCAGTGGCCAAGGATCCTCTTGCAGTTCAGATGATGCATACCTTGGTGCAGTACACAGGGGTGCCCTCACACCTCAATCGGAAAACTGCATAGCACTTCATTGTGCGGACTCACTACATTGCAGTTTCCAGAAACTGGGCACTGAAGTTCTTGCTCCTCTTGGACCAAGAAACCACAAAGACAAAGGATGCCAGCCGACTGCTCGAAGAACAATGTTCCTGCACACCAAGAACAAATCGAACAAACAGAAACTGTTCGTTCGATACAGTAGTGCTCCAAAGGAGCGCTGGAATTCAAGTCACGGAAGACCCTTTGCGTCAAGCATTTCTTCAAATTGGGTTTCAAGTCTTTGTTTCTATTGAAGGAAGACTCACGGGCAAAGGTCAAAGCAATTCCACATTCAGTGATGCACCGTCGGCCATGTCACCATGATCCCAAAAATACTCAAGTGACTCCAACAAATACTCAAGTTACTTCAACAAATCCTGGGCAAAACGCTTTAAGTATCTTCTTGCTGGTGCTTAGTAGGGAATGGGGGAATGGGATGACTATTAATAGCTAATATGGATTATTATGGATCATTCCCCCATTCCCTGCTAAGCACCAGCAAGTCTTTCAATGACCTTCATTGAACAGCACAGCTTTGCAGCGGTCCTGCTGTTGGGATGGCGTCTCACCATAGCCAAGGCGCTGCACAGCCGTCGGGCCTGGTCACAGAAGTCCTTGTCTCCTGACGGACAGCGCCGCAGTAAACCAACTGAGCAACCAGACACCAAAGTAGCTTAGCAGCTATGAATACATAGACATATCAATATATATATATATTATATATATATATATATCAATATATATATATTATATTTATATACTATATGTATATATACACACATACATATGTAAAATGTATTAAAATGTATGAAATCTATTGGTGATTCTATATATTATTTCAAATCTTCAACTCCCCCCCGTCTCTACTTCAACTCAACGTAAGGAGAAACGATGAGAATAATGATCAATGTCCTCCAAAGTCTTGCTCACTGAGGGCCGCGGCGTGCAAGAGAACCTCGCAGTCGTTGCGGAGCCCTTCGCTGAGATGCTGCAGAGTGGCAACGTCCTCTGGAATCGTTGCGAAGGCCAATGGATGTCTGATGTCTCAAAGTTTGGGGCAAGAGAAAACCAGAGCAACTTTGAAGATTTTAACAAAGCAATGGAATGAGACTAGTGGCAACGTGGAGCTGTAAGATGATACGCTGGCTAGTTCCTCGAGCTGGACATGTGCAAAATCAAAGCCCGGTCCACAGAGAGCAACGACAGGGCAAAGTTTTTGTCCGATGTAAGGCCTGCTTTCTATGCAAAGGATTCAATGCATTGGATCACAAAGGGCGTTGCTTTCTCTAGCAAGCTTTGTCTTGACTTCAGAACTGGTCACATTGTTTTGTTTGTCCTTTTTCCCCTCTACAACTAGACTGGCTTTCATCTTGCTCCACTTTTGGTCAAGCATGTCCAAATGATCCAAATGTTAGCAACTGTATGCAACAACAGCTCTCAACTCTCTGCCTCTATCGGCAAAATCCAAGGTGGAGTAGCAGCCGCCCTTTGCACAACGAATCAGGAAAGCTTTGTTCGTTTGAAACGTCGAAAAGGACAGCGCAGCAGGGTCCTGGCCCACTTCCATTGAGCAGGAAGAATGTGTGAAGACTGAAAAGGACAAACATGTTGTCACAATATCTTAATATGGCATAATATGGGCTAATATGATATAAATTGATATAATGTTGGCACCCGATTAGTAGGATGGTACCCTATTGTGGCATTTTTTCTCTTCCTTATTCAGTTCCATGATGTTTGGGGGGGGGGCCTCTATTGTGGCAAGTTTTTTTCAGATTTTTTTGTGGCAGTTGTTTTGATTCACATTTTTTGGTTTTTTATATTTGTTTTCCTATTGTTTGAATTTTTTTTGAATTATATAATTAATAATGTGTTTCATTGTTTTTTCATGTTTATTATTTTATTTTTTTTATATTAAAGCTTTCAAATGCAAGGTTTCCAAATAATTAGATGCCTTATTAAACCCTTATTAAAAAACAACATCCAAACAATTTTTTAAGGGGGTACCTCATGAGTGGCTCAGTTACTCAATAATATCAATGTTTGGATGGTGCCCTATTGTGGCCAACAACTTTTGGGGTTGAAAAAAATCAAAAACCTTCTCCACCTTTCTTTGAGTAAAGCTGGTCCATTTACTTTAGAAAACCATATTTGCGTTAAAGCTTTAAAATGCAAGGTTTTCCCAATAATTAGATGCCTTATTAAACCCTTATTAAAAAACGAGTGGATGTGCAACACGGCTCGCGAAATCGAAGCAGCCACTCAGCCACTCTGCCAGAGTGGCTGGACCAGCCACTCAGCCACTCAGCCACTCTGGCAGAGCGGCTGGACCAGCCACTCTTACCAGAGCGTCTGAGTGGCTGAGTGGCTGAGTGGCTGAGTGGCTGCGGCAGAGTGGCTGCTCCAGCCACTCTGGCAGAGGCTGAGTGGCTGAGTGGCTGCACCAAGCCACTCTGGCAGAATGTCTCAGTTAGCCAATGGAGTGTAAGCAGTATTACCCGGACCTAATATTTCTTAGGTCTGGGTAGTTTTTCAAGTGAGGGCATATATTCTTATGGATGGAATGGAATTTTATGCAAACATCTGTGTTAAAGGGTTGTGAGAAAGAAGTCATTAGCCATTTGTGTTAAAGGGGTTCGCTCTGTGGGTCTATGCGGATCATCATGGTGAAAGGAATGAGACATTTGGTTATAGTTCCAATGTTTTCATATATGTATGTTATTAAGGAAATTATATATATATACATAGCTAGACACAAACACACCTAAGTTCATACCATCCACCTCCATCATTTCATCATTTACCACAGTTCATTTTCACAGCATGTCATATCATTTCATCACAGTATCAACACAAAATAAAACCACATCATTTCATACATCATCATTGCACATCATTTCATCATCATCCATCATCACATAAATTTAAATCATAATGTTTCATCATAATATTTCATCGTAAATGTCATCACAATATGTTATCATAAAATAATATCATAAATCTAAATCATCCATCTCTAACATTCCTATGTTCGTATCATATTTTTTCATATATTATGATATGACAAATTATGGGGTTAAAGTTTTTTAAAGCTTTTTGGTGTAATGGTTTTCCAGATTTGCTTCAATTTTGCAATTCTGGTTTCATCATCTTTTAAGTATTGCTCCATATTTTTTTGTGTTTTCTCTTCTTCCATTTTGAGTTTTTCCTTGTTGATATGCCTGTCGGTTTTGAGATGTTTGGACAACCTGCATTGTTTCACATTCCGCTGGCAAATGTCGCAGAATACTTCCTTTTGATTATAATATACTGTGTTACTCTCCTTTTGTTTGTTCAAGCATTCAATACACATTCTATTCAGTCCATTGAACTCGTCACCATTTTTATTTTTCTTACACTTTGTGCACGTTCTACTCTCCATACTATTATAAGGTATTATCCGTTTAAGTGTATTTCCTTATATCATAAAAAATCATCCAAATATTTTTCCCAAAAATCATCATAGATTTCATTTTTTTTCTATTCCTTTCCCTCTTCTGTATCTTTACCTCCTACTCTTTTGCGTATCTGCAAAAAGATATTGTATTTGAAAATTATGTCAATGCAATTGTCAACATACTCCTCTCCATTTTGGCTGTTGGTGAAGGGCTCTATGCTTGGAAATTGTTTGACATCACCTGCACCTATTACAGTCAAATGACGGTTTTCATTGCAGAAGACTCTTATCTTATTCAAAATATAAGGACTTGACATATAGATTTCATCAAAAAAGATTACATCATAACCGTTCTAATCATACTTTGGTAGCCTGCTTTCCCCCTTACACACAGGAACACTGAAGAATGTATTTTGGGTGACTGCATCGCATGGAATCCAACATTTTGCTTTTGCATATTTTGAGGAACAACAAAATATGTATTATAAACTTAGGTCGTTGAAATGTTTTCCAATGAAATTCTTACTACTTCCTGCAAATTTTGCCCAAACCATGACTCTCTTCTTCCTTATTGTTTTTTTTGTTTCTGTGTCCCATTCATCTTGAACCTCAATCCTTTCGCTTTTGTAAATTGGTATTTTTGGAATCTCATTGTGTTTCCATCCATAGACTTCGGGAACAGGAACAACTTTCTTATCTTCCACTCTTCAGCCTCCTATGTCATTATGAAAATTCAATATTTTTTTGGCTTTCTTTAAGTCCCTCTTTGCTATGTGAAAGGCATCAGTCTTTACAGCGTAAACATTGATGTTTGCCTCCTTCAACTTCTCATATGCATCATACATATGAAAGTTATGATTTTGTAACAGTAGCTCTTTGATATACCTAAATCTGTTCATCAACTGCCTTTGGTCACTGACACTGACTATAAAATATTTGGCGGTCTCGTTTTTCCTCTACCTTTTGGTTGAATGAATCATTTTCACAGTAGTAGGTTTTGCCATCCTCGACGTTATAATCAAAATCTGTAAAACACGCACCGCCATTCACATGTCTAAAAAAATTGTTGTTCTCATCAACTTCGATAGTCCAATCTTCTTCTCATTCTCTCCATCTAAAATATTCCTCATACTCTTCTTCGTTCATTGCGTAAATCCTCCCATCATATTTTTTCTGGTGCTGTAATGCCTCCTTTAGATTATCAAAATCCTACTGACCGTTTTTCTATTGTAAGACTTCTCAAGCAAACCAAAGGCTACATTAGCAATAGTTTTCAAGATTGTTTGATTCTCAAACTTGTCATCACTAATCACTGTTTTATACAAATCTTCAACCGTTTTCTTATACTTCACTCTGTGAATGTATGAAGGTGCTTTGTAAAATAGCATCTTCATTGCCACCCCTCTCATAATCAATTTCTTCAGGTGCTTCCCATACACCAGATTATATATTTGTTAAAAAACAAATGTTGCCCTGACATGCCCTCACTATGAACAAGGTATAGTTATTGAATTTGTTAAAATCATTTTTGTTTGGTGTATAGCTTCCATACATCAAAATCTTTGAACACTGGAATGTGTGTAATCTTTGTTGCTTGGTATGAGTAGGCTTTCCGTGTGTCGATGCTACACATATCTTCAGGGGCAAGGACAAGTTCATAGCCCTTGTTATCATAGTTTTTTGCCTTTAACAACCTTCCATTAGGAACAATGGCTCTGCATTCATCCAATGCTTTAAGGTCAGTTTCGTTATAGTATGACTTATGATTTTCACTGAAAATTGACTCATGAAATTTGAACATTGTCGCGCTGACTTTGTTGTATTATTCCTCTATTTCCATCAAGATATCATCATTGATTCTATCATGGTCACGGTGCTGTGTTGCAATGCTGTAGGTTACCGTTTCCTGTTCCTTGACTATCTTGTGTGTTAAATCAAACTTGATTTCTACTGCCCTACCTGCTGTGTGCCTAACCTGTGGTTCATGTTCTTTTCATTTCATAAATTGTTCTGTTCAAATCATTGCCTTTTAAAACTAATCGGTATTCCTCTTCATCCTTTAAACTCATCACATCATCGATACCATCAATCATTTTGTATTTAAGAGGTTCTTCTCTGTTGTTGATGTAATAGTTGTTTCCAATCCTGAACTTGTAGAGTTCATCAACGCTCTCCTTCCTTTTAAGTGATTTCAGGCTATGGTTCAAAGTGTATGTGGCTGTTCTTAATCAATACGTTGAAAGTTATGTAGCCATGGCAGTTGAAGTTTAAAGGGTTATGTTTGTAAATCAAATTGCTGTCAATATCATATAATCTTGCTTGGTTATTGAAATGTTTAAAAACTTTGGCTGGAGCAGCCACTGACAACGAAAGCCAGAGGGCGCTGCCTTCTTCGTCCGGGTACGGCGCAAGCGACGCCTTGGGAAAGTGCTGGTATTGTGGATGCCGGAGGGCTTGCGCGGGTTCGCGCCCTTGGTCTCTGCGGCCGTCTTTCTGGGCTTCTTCTGGTACTCCTTGCCCATTGCATTTGGCAGATCGGCGCGCAGTGGCGCGTCGAGTCAATGTGCTTAAAGGGTTGCTGAAGCCAAAACGCCGCGGTAGGTTTTTATCATAGAACACGTTTGCTTCTTATACGCTGAGCACTGCGGTTTTGAAGCAGCTGAGAATTGGCACTCTGTAGCCTGTCACGTCTGGGAACTAACAGTTACATTTTGACAGCACTGGGGGCAACTGTACATTTTACATGCAGTCTTTTCCATCCGCGCTGCCCTACATAACCTCTTGGCAGCGCGCGGCCGCGCTTTTTTATCGATGGCGCTCTGACGGTCGATGTACATTGCTCCCGGAGGAGGAAGTGAAGCTACAGTAGCCTGTGCAACGCCACTCTGCTACTCCCGCTCCTTGATGGATCACGTGACCCTTAGGCCGGCTCTGTGCATGCAGCTTTGTTCTATACATCACAGGGGCTTCCGACGTATATAGTATGTATGTGCGTGTGTGTATATATATATATGTGTGTGTAGAGATGTTGTTTCAAGAGGTAGTCTTCGACACGAACGATATGAGCTTGGAAAGAGAAATCATACACGAGGTGAACTGGTAGCTGTCCAAAAAGCCCGAAGTCGCGTCCCCGCGGTCATGATTGCAGGCAGCGGCGGAGCCTGCGGAGAGCAGTGAAGGATTCAGGCAATACGAGTATGCAGTCAAGGTTTGCTGCTTGACAATGATAGACGACCCGGCCTCATTTCCTCCCTGACCTTGAACCGGACTGCCTGCAGCTTTCTGCTGTCCTTGTCGGTCGCCTTCGCCCGTAAGTTGTCCTTCTGCTTGTTCCTCAGGACCTGGCCGCGGGAGGAACAGGGAGGGGCCAAGCTTCCATGCTCTGCCACTCACACACAGTACAAAGGAGCTGTTTGCAAGGCCGTGCCTTGAAGAGGGCGTCTTTGTGCGAGATGCCGCTGCTCTGTTGCAGGTCGAAGGCTTCCCGATCCACCTCAGTCACGTTGCCAGAGTGGCTGGAGGAGCCACTCAGCCACTCAGCCAGAGTGGCTGGAGCAGCGAGTCAGCCACTCAGCCACTCTGCCAGACTGGCTGAAAAAGCCACTCAGCCACTCTGCCAGAGTGGCTGGAGGAGCCACTCAGCCACTCACTCTGCCACTCAGTCACTCAGAGTGGCTGAGTGGCTGAGTGGCTGCGTCAGCCACTCTGGCAGAGTGGCTGAGTGGCTGAGTGGCTGGGGTGAAAATTTCCGCCATTGCGCGTTCAATCTAAAAAACAGCATCCAAACAATTTTTCAAGGGGGTACCTCATGAGTGGCTCAGTTACTCAATAATATGAATGTTTGGATGGTACTCTATTGTGCCCAACAACTGTTGGGGTTGAAAAAAACGAAACCCTTGAAAGTAAATTGAAATCAATTGAAAGCAAATTGAAAGTAAATTGAAATCAATTAAAAGTAAATTGAAATCAATTGAAAGTAAATTGAAATCAATTGAAAGTAAATTGAAATCAATCGAAAGTAAATTGAAATCAATTGAAAATCAATTGAAAGTAAATTGAAAGTAAATTGAAATCAATTGAAAGTAAATTGAAATCAATTGAAAGTCAATTGAAATCAATTGAAAGTACATTGAAATCAATGGAAAGTAAATTGAAATCAATTGAAAGTAAATTGAAATCAATTGTCAGTAAATTGAAATCAATTGAAAGTCAATTGAAATCAATTGAAAGTGCATTGAAATCAATTGAAAGTAAATTGAAATCAATTGAAAGTAAATTGAAATCAATTAAAAGTAAATTGAAATCAATTGAAAATCAATTGAAAGTAAATTGATTTCAATTGAAAGTAAATTGAAATCAGTTGAAATCCTTACTTAAGTTGACTATCCAAAAGTTGACTATCCAAAAAAATTGTTGAGGGGGGGCGGAAAAAAACTGCGAATTATTCAGTATACTAAATTAGTTTGAGGGGGGGGCCCTCACACTAATCAGCTGCCAACATTAATATGGAACTGAAAATTGCAAGAGTTCAGGAAACTCGGGCCCTTTCGTCCAGGAAATGGATGTTTCAGATACGGGCGAATGAGATCTAATGAGCACATCCTGTGATGTCTCGCGCTCGAGCACAAAAACAATAACCCTTGGAAGGCGTATTTCAACATCAATCAATGATGTCCACCAAAATAAATCCAAACATAGGGAAATCCATGGAAATCCCATTGACTGCTCCTGATTCACGGCGCACCACACCACTTCCTCATCATCCTTCAATGTCTGACTCGCAAATTGTAATGCCAAGCCATTGGATGTCACTGCAGCCTGCAAAGGGCACGAGGTGTTCACCTCCTTTGGTTGTGCCTCGAAACGTTTTGGGACAACACGACTAAGTATAGAAGTACATACCATCCACATACCATTACAGGCAAAGTTGTGGAGGCTATCTGGCCTCAATCGATTTTGATTGGCGTGGGAAGGGGCATAAAAACCCACCTCCACCATTATTGACTTTGTCAGTCAAGAGAGAAAGATGAGAAAGCACAATGCCGAGCAGCAAGGACCACTTGCTTATCTTCAAGAAGTTCCGCAGATACATGCTCAAGGCTCATACCTGGACAAGTGCTTCGTATGCAAACACGCTTTGAGGTAAAGAGGATCACCATCAAATGAATCATGCTGACACTTGACAAAAAAGGTTGGAAATGGGATTGTCTGAAAATGAGGTATCCCCCCCACTTCCAATAAACAAGTTTCTCCATTAAATAATTTCACACCCCCTCTATCCCGCTGGCCTGCTGTCTCTACTGCAAGGAGGGCGAAGCTTCGCTGAGACTTCAGGGTCGAGAAGCGCAGAGCTCCGCTGTTCGATGCTAGCGCTTCAAGCACAACTTCCTGGCAGCTAATCGGACACTTTGGACCAAGGTGCCACAGACAGGCAAAGCCGAAGACAGAGATCGAAAAATCATACATCAGGGTTGGAATGTGTCTTGTTACCGTTTGTTATCGTTTGTTGTTTATGTTTTTTTGTACGAGTCTGGTTTCTTGTCCTGCCTTTTCCCTTGCTATTTGCAATGTTTTGGAAGTTCAACCTCTCAATTCAACATTTGCATTGTATGTGCATTCATTCGGTATGTGCAGCATTTTGGAATTACAGCCTTGCATTTTGCATGACATGTGCAGCATTTCAGGACTTCAACCTCTTTTATTTTGCATGGTCCACACAACATTTGGAACCTGAACTTATACCTTCCATTGTGTACGGCACATGCAGCATTCCATCTTGTATGACATTTCAGGCGTTGTGGAGTTTCGACCCTCCATGATACTTGTTGAAACATTGTGACACGTTAGGTGCTAACGTATTCATTTACATCTCAGTTGGCCGTTCTGGGCCTCATGGTATTTACACCAGGGGCAAGAAAGCAAAGAGGTCAAAATGGGAAGCAAAAAGATTTCTCTGGCATGGGGGAGGGCGCTGCCCCTCGCTGTAACTGTTGTTGTTGTTGTTGTTGTTGCTGCTGCTGCTGCTGTTCTTGGTTTTCTTGCCGTTCTTGTTTTTGTTTGCTGTAATGTTGTTATTTCATGTTATTTCATGTTATTTCATGTTATTTCTGTTCTTCGTCTTCTTCTTTTTCTTTTTCTTCTTCTTCTTCTTCTTCTTATTCTTCTTCTTCTTCTTTTTTTCTTCTTCTTCTTCTTTTTCTTCTTCTTCTTCTTCTTCTTCTTGTGGCTGTTCTTGTAGTAGTTGTCGCTGGTTCTGTTATTCTTGCTGCTGTTATTCTTGTGGTTAGTGGTTGGGGTTTGTTGGTCTCGTATCTTCCAATGTATTTGAACATTACTTGCAACATGTTTAAGTTTGAAGCACTTGAACCCTCAACTGTTGTGTATCTCTGCGTGGTATTTGCAGCATTTTGGAACCAAACCGTTCATCTTTCACATAATTTGCCACATTGTCAAAAGATGTCAAAGGATGTCCAAGGTAGCATCGGGGTGCGAGGCCTCATCATCCTGAAAGTCCGGCAAATACTCCAAAGCAGTTCCCTGTAGGCGAAGAGCTTCCAACACAAAATGACGATTGCCGCGCAGCTCTTCACCTTTGGGGGCCATGATTCAGCAGGGTGCTCCGACATCTCGGAGATCAGACGTATATGCTACTGGCTGTAGTCAGTAGTCACCATTGAACAAATGGGGCCGAAGGTGCTGGCCATCATTTGCAAGTAACCAAACCATTGTTCCGTTGGAACACATTGTTCTTTTGCAAAGCAAAAATGTCCATGTAATAAGATCACGGCCACAAAGCACAACCAATCCGACCTACAGACATCATCACACTCATATATAGTACATGTTGAATATATAGTTGAGTCTACAAAAATAGTTCAAGTCCATGTTAGATGTCTATTGTTCATACTTGAAGTGTTCATAATGTTCATAATTTTCATGGCTCTCTCTTCACAACTCCCGTTGCGCCTACGTGCGCCATGGCTCCTGCGCAGCCCTCCACCGCCGCCAGCGCCACCTGCCGATCGCTGCGGAGCTCAGGCGCGGCAAAGCGCAAGGCCCGGCCATCCGCAGAAACCGCGGAGACGACGAGGTCAAAGTCTGCCTGGCGCTCCGAAGGATCCATGGGATCTGGGATCTGGGGCCGCTATTGGTCATGGTTAGTTATGGTTAGTTATAGTTATGGTTAATATGGGGATTATACGTGCCCAACTTCCCAACCTATGGGATCTTCCCCAAAATATGGGGATATGGGAATTATATCGTGGGAATGGGTCTGAGGAGTCAGATCCAGTCCGACCTGACATACTGACGATGATGTGATTCCCCTTATGGGGTGCATAGAAGTCCAATGCCATAATCGAAGGAAGTTTAGAAGTCAAACTTTCCGACAATATGGACAGATGAAAAGCAGAGGTGGAGCAGAAGAACAGAGAAGAGAAGAGCAGAAGAGAGAAGATCAGAGAAGAGAAAGAGTCAGAAGAAAGAAGATGCAGGTGCGCGAAAAGGTAGGAAAGTCGCGAAACACTGTTTTTCCAATGGTTTGTGGCTCCAGAGGGTCGAAAAGTAGGCTCGCTAAAGCGGCGGGTGCGGAGCCAGCTGCCCAGATGAGAGATGAAAAATTGCACGCCGTTGTGGCGCGAAGCACATTTCCAAGTCAAACGTGCAAAACAACTCAGCTTCGGACAACTTTTGGAAGTTGAGATGTCGAAAAAGTGCACGCCGTTGTGGCGCGAAGCACATTTCGAAGTCAAAATGTACTTCGTTTTTGACGTTATCAAGTTCAAAAATTGAGGAAGTCTCGCTGAATTGCTGCGTTTTTCAAAAATTGAGGAAGTCTCGCAGAATAGCTTCGTTTTCAAGCAGACAGACAGACAGACAGACAGAGACAGACAGACAGACAGACAGACAGAGAGAGAGAGAAAGAGAGAGAGAGATAGATAGATAGATAGGTAGATAGATAGATAGATAGATACATACAGTAGATAGATCGGTAGGTAGGTAGGTAGATAGTCAGAGAAAGAGAGAAAGAGAGAGAGAAAGAGAGGAGACCTCAACCACCTTTCGGTCCATCAGTGGCTTCGCTCTGCCATCCGTGATTCACAACAACCAACCTCTCCTATAGGTTTCCTATTGTTGAAACTTCCGCCACCGCCTTGTGCGGGACTACTGGTAAGGTATGATTTGGGATGATAATCCCTTTATATTATAGGATGATAATCCCCTTATTATGGGATGATATAAAGATTATATGAGTACAAATGAATTTGAAGTATGATTCGGGTTTCAAACTTCAGTTTCACCTGACCCACAAGACTCGACTGCTGGGGCTGCGAGGGCGGGCCTTCAGAGGCTCTGGAGCAAATTGCAAAGCTTCGGCACTGCAGCAAACTGCCTGCAACCAATGAATACATACGAGTACATATGTATACTTAATGAGGTATCCATTCGGTATCGGTTTTGTATCTATTCATTCACATCACATAAACCAGATCCCGGTTTTTCATGGCTTTTAAGGTCCAAGTTGCGAAGAATCGACATTGGTTTCTCAGGCATTCGCGCACGGCTCCACAGGACTGGTGCTAATGGTGGGATAGTTTCATCAGTGATAAGCGTATTTTCCTGACCGTACCCAAAAGATCCCAAAAGAACATGCAATATTCATTCGCACAACATCAACACATCGGACCTACCAGAAGGGCATCAGTTGTGGAATTATGGCTTCCCGTGATCATCGAATTGTGTCGGTGAAACATCAATGTGCTTGCAGCTTCCAAGCAGCTTGCAATCGTTTATAATCATTTATGTTGAGTTTTCAAAAAAACAAAAGTCCCTGCAAGTTTTCCCCGACCACAACCGCACAGGCGCCTCGCGCACAAAGTCCTCATCTTGCTGCAGGGAACTCAAAGACAGGCAGCGCCCATCCCCACTCACAGCAGCAAGGACCATGTCGGGGTCATGGCGGCAGCGCTCCTCAAAGCCACGTGGTTCATGTCAAGGCCTTCATTTGCTTGTGCTGGTCCATGCTGGTCCATGCTGGTCCATGCTGGTCTATGCTGGTCCATGCTGGTCCATGCTGGTCCCTAACCTCCCCAACCAATCAGCTCCTGAAGAAAAATGGAGAAAAACAAAACTTCGTTTCTACATGTTTCTACTTGTATGTGGACATGCAACATTCTGCTCATGACTTCCGAATCAGCGTGGGTGCAATGTGTGTCCTTAAACTGCTTTGCGCCGCTGCGCCGCTGCGCCGCTCCAGTCGGTACGTGCGCGCTATGCTTTGTCTGCTACTGCGCCGCTGCGCTGTTGTTAGGTTGCGCTGCGCTGCTGCGCTGTTGTTTCCTTGCACCTGTGCGCTGCTGCGCCGCTGCGCTGTTGTTAGGCTTCGCTTGCGCCAGTGCGCTGCTGCGCTGCTGCGCCGCTGCGCTGTTGTTTGGTTGCAGTTGCGACGGTGCGCTGCTGCGCTGCTGCGGCGCTGCGCTGTTGTTATAGGTTGCACTTGCGCCGGTGCGCTGCTGCGCCGCTGCGCAGAACAGGTAAGCTGAGCAATTGCGTCCCAGCATCGGAGCATCGGAGCGCAGAATGTCAACACAAGAGCTGCGGAGCGGAGTGGAGCATCGGAGCGGAGGGCTGCGCAGCGGAGCGGCGTGGAGGATCAGAGCCGCAGAGGATTGCGCAGCGGAGCATCGGAGCATCGGAGCGGAGGGTTGCGCAGCGGAGCGAAGTGCATGGAGCATCGGAGCATCGGAGCGGAAGAGCTGCCGCACTAGATGGAGTGGAGCATCGGAGCAGAGGTTTGCGCAGCGGAGCGGAGCGGAGCATCGGAGCGGAGGGCTGCGCAACGGAGCGGAGCGGAGCATCGGAGCATCGGAGCGGAAGAGCTGCCGCACTATGGAGTGGAGCAGATTTGAGGGAGGATCGGAGCATCGGAGTGCAGGATTTCAGCAGTTGACAGGAGTGGAGCGGAGTGGAGCATCGGAACGTCGGAGCGTAGGGTTGCGGCACCCGAGCACCATCAAGCAGAACTGATCCAACTGCATGAATATAAAAGCACATGTGGGCTAGTACAAGCACCGGAGCGGAGCAACGGAGCATCGGAGCAGGAACGTTTACCAGGACACGCTCTGCACTCACTCTGCAACTCCTATCTCCAGGATGTTCAGCCTTGCCTACAATTTTAGTAGTTTTGACGAATACGTGCCCTGCACAGGAAGTGAGTGCAGCGTCCGGCAGCATCCGGAGGGCCATAGGATTGGCGCGAATCATATCCAGTGCGAAGTTGTCATCCTGTAGCAGGTCTTCTGCAACCTGAGAGATGCATAGAGATGATATCAGAAAAGTGGGCTGGAGATGGCTGGAGCAGGTCTGCAAGTCATGGAATTCTGGTCAACACGGTAAACGCAAAGTGAGGTCATGGTGAATACAGGTGTGTGTGTGTGTGTGTGCCCCCTTTTGCACAATGATTCCAGCAGAATGTGTGAATATGTGTGAATGCTAGAAAAAAACCACTGCTCACCTGCTTAACATTTCGGAGTTCTCACTTTGTGGCATAATTGCTACCCTGGCCACATATTTCACCGCCCAACTGCTGCTGGCCACGGCTGCCAACACCACTTCTTTGTCCCTGCCACTGGGGCTGGGCTGCTGGGGAAACGTCTGATATCCTGCTTGCTATTTATCAAATTCATTCCCAAACCCGCTCAAATTGTATAGACGTGATTTGAATCTACACTACAAACACTACAATGTAATTGCTGTCTATACAATGTCTATTCTGTAGTTGATGTCTCGTTGTGTTTCTTTACACCCAGGCAGTAAGATAAAGGGGCATTATCAAAGCAAATCCTCAGAGATGAGATGTCCATTCAGAAAGAGCTGTGGCCTTTGATGCTTGGGCTGTGCATAGCACAGCAAGTCTCCATACTGCGTCACAACTTCCAGAACAACCTCATCAGGGAGGGGAAACCCCTGGGAAACCCCTGTCATGCTCGGAGTCAGGCATCAAGCTCTTGTGAGATTTGCACAGGGCTGCACAGGACTTCTAGTCACCATCCTGGGCTCTACCTGATCCACCGGGTGCACATGAGATCTGCCTTGCGGTGAAACGCACCGCGGTTGATCTTGTTTTTGGCGTCACTGCGTGAGAGCGTCTGCGCCATGGCACCAATTAGGTTGCAACCAGCATGGTCCTCCGATGTCAATGCTGTTTTTTAGAAACTGAAACAGGAAAACAGGCCCCTACGCCAAGTCGACAGGCGTTGGACTCCCAACATGTAGACAACGTGTTCAAATTCTTGGGATCGGAAGTCTTGGAAGTAGGAACATGCCCCTTGGCTATGTGGGTTTGTTCCCTGGTTAAATTTCGAGCTCAAATGCTTTTGATACATGCCAGAATTGCACCATGTCCATGTAATTTCCAGTCCCCACAGACCACAATAAATCCGGCTGGGTTCTCCCACGAGCTGCCCGCACGGCAGCGCCTTCTGGAATGGGTGGTACTCGCGTTCCTGCCTGTCCCACTGTCGAAGATGTCCGGGAAGTGGATGAGGGAAACGACAAACCAAAAGCATATGGACACACAATTCGCCCTGCATGGCTGTGCTATTTTCATTCTTCTGACATGCAACCATTGGTTCAATTCTTGGAATGGTACACCCCCAAAGTTCAATTTCATTGGGAAAATGATGACTAACCAGTGGGTTTAGGTGTACCAAGGGACCCTAGTTTTGGACAAACCCTCAAACAAGTTCTGAACCATCACCTGCTTTGCATGCTTGATGAAGCCCTGTAGCACATTCAGGACCTGACCAAAATTGCAGGAATGGGACCAATGGGAGTAGCTGGGTGTGTCACTGTTGATTTCTTGCCTCCGGGACTCCGGGGCAGGGAAAAGTATGGAAAAGTGCCCCGTTGCAAAGGCCTTCTTCAACTCTTTCAGCTCACTATCTGGTGGAGTTGCCACCCGATTGATCTGCCGAAACGCCTGTCATGGGTCGACTCAGACTGACAGGGCGAAGGTCACGAGCTCTCAACGAGCTGCGCCTCAGGGATTGAAGTGGGCCACAGGGCATGGCCAGCAAAGCGGGATCGCCTCGGTTGCGACAAAGTTTGAGCCGCCTTTGAAGTGACCACAGATGGCCATCAGGTCGCAACGGTCGCAACGGTCGCAACCACTTCTCAGCACTTCTCCAAGAGGGAAACAAATCAGAAAATGTCAGAAATCAATAGAAATCATGGTTTGATATTGTTTGTAGATGTTTGTAGATGTTTGTAGTTTGTATTCTGTGCTGAGTTCCCAAGCAAGGGCGGATCCAACGGATTGCCCCTGCTGGGCATGCCTGCCACAATTTGACTAGTCGCTCTGTGGCTGTTGTATTCTTCACTGCATGCCATGCCTATGGCAATGACAATGAAGTCTTCATGGACAGATACCATTCTGAAGTCCTGGAACAGGCGCAACAAGCCCATCACCATCCATAATCATCCATGACCATCCATCACCGTTCAGAAGGCAAAGTGTATGACAGTTCCGGACAAGCGGCTGTGTCAGAAATCCAACAGCCATTCTACATCCGTCAGAAGGAGCTAGAAAGCTTGAAAATCACGGTTACGGATGGTTATGGGTTTGGTTATATGATCAAATGAGACAATCTTCCTCCACAGTACCGACGTCCTCACTTTCCTCTGCATGTGATGCTTGCAATCCTGTGCAGTGGATCCAGCAAGTGGCCATTTTAGCTGTACACCTGACAACACCCAAAGTCAAGCAAGCAGGGTCCTTCAACGCGACCAGGCGCTAACAAGAAACGCCCATCCTGGCTGCCACTTCAGTTCTTAATCATTCAACCCATATTGGCGTTGCAAGCCAGCATGTTGTGATTTATCTTCGCAGCTCGTGACAAATCTACCTCCAGTTGCATCTCTCTGTTCTCCAGGAGATTGTTGAGGAGTGGCAGTACCTCCGAGGCAAAGCTGCAAGATCACCTGCAGCATCCTGCAGCACTGCAGCACCATGCAGTTCTGCAACAGAATTCACGGGCTCCGGCTACAGCAGCTGGCAACAAAGCTCGTGCCATCAACATCCAAAACTAGGAACCTTTCTTCCTTGGAACCTGTGAAAGCCTGCCCTTGACTCTTGCGCAGCCTTCCAACTGTCTAACATTTGAACAATGCAACCCAAACTCCCCGGCAGAACCCTGCAAGAACCTGCAGAGTCACCCGAAAGTTAAAAGGAACACTGTAACCTTTGGAACTCGATGGCAAGTACGAGTACTGACCAGAACCCAAACCCATGTTGACATACTTCAGGTATCTTTTCATTTTGCCACCCTGCCTGCAGTGTCCTGCAGCCCTAGAATTCGAGAAGCCCCTCCATAAAAAACCCAAACCTCCTGAAACCTGTGGCCATCCTCAGCTAGCGCCAAAAACTCAGTTTTGAAAACGAACGGTCTTTCGCTGTGTATGTGACAGTTGCACAGTTCGTGATGAGAAGCTGGCCAGGTTGGGATATGATTGGATTGAACCAAAATTGAACCAAATAAAATGAACTTGAACAGAAGAGTACACAAATGATATCAAATGATATCAAATGATGGCCTGGAGTGACTGCTTTCAACCACAACTTTGGCCAGGTGAATATGCCCATCCAATACCATTTGGGCGTCGGTGGGCGATCTAACGACTAGAAGGAGAAGGTGAACACTCTACCTAAGGACCTAGGCTGCCTCACTTGTCCGGGAGGACTCACACCCTAGCTGCATTTGCCGCCATAGCTGACATCACCATAGCCATGGCTCAGCGGCAATGCGACATTGAGTAGTATCGCTGCTTCAAGTCACCCGGGCAATCAATCCGAGAGAAGACAAAGTTCTTGTTGGGGATAGATCTCGAGTGTGGCACGCTGTTGGGGTAGTGAGAGAAGTCAAGATGATTGAAGGATCCATAGGCATTCTTCAGTCCAGCACGATTGGGACACCAATCTTCGTTTCCTGGATGTGGACAGAGGTCACCCACAACTACAATTATCTCTTCTGACATGAAAGGGTCTTCCGACTCATCTTCGGATTCTTCTTGCGCAAGGCTGTACAAAGCCTTGCCCTTCTGGCCATATGCTGACCGCAAGAAGCGCCCTTTTGCACAGGACAGGCAGCCCATTCCGGTGGTTCCTGAACCACCACCTGCTTGGCCACACCAACATGCCCCGTTTCCATTGCAATTCCTCCACATCGACTGGGCCGAGGCCACATTGTGATACCGGGTGCCTTGCACCAGTCGGTGGGTATCAATTCCTCCACATGCTGATCGGGGAGCATCGCCATACATCGTGGTGGTGGCCCAATGGTGGTAACCGTAAAGTGGAAAATCTGAGGAAGAGTTTGAGAAATCACCATCCACATCCACCGCGACATCTGCGTTCAAATCTGCCGTCGTAGCTGCTGAGTTCAGCCTTAGTCACCGGAGCTACAGTGGCTGTCTCTGACACATTAGTTTGATCATGTTTCATGTCTTTCCATCAACACTATTCACTGCTTGCCACCAAGGAATTGAACAACAGGGTGAAGTTGACATGACTCCGAGTCCTGAAATGTCCTGATATTGAACAAACAGTGAGTGGGCAGCTTCCATGTGCCAAGAAGCTGAAGAGCGCTCAAGGTACACTCAGCTGATGTGCACTCGGAATCCTGCTTTAAAGCAGCTTCATGCTCATCCAAGGCAGCTGCGGAGATCAACAGGAAGAAGTGCAGCATCATACCGGGCACCAAACACAAAGAGAGTTGAGGGTTAGACTTTGCTGAACCGGAAAGGGCTGCAGGGTGATGTCGAGTCAATGCTGTTGCTGTGGAACGCTCCTTTCAACAAGTCTCGCACACGTTCAATACATCTTCCAACTTCGACCATACGGTTTCTTACCAGCAATAGCTGGAGTGCATAGAGTGCATAGTAGCAAAGAGAGGAGTTGTTCTTTGTTCAGATCTGATTTTATGCGTCAATTCAACCAGACTTTGGGCACGTTGCGTTCTGCCTTCTCAATACCCTCCAGCCTCGGCCATGGCCCGAGCGGCAACATGAAAAGAGATACTCTTACCAAGTCTCGCACACAAGCACACGGCCATTCAAAGCTGCTCTTACTGGCCTCAGAAAGGGTTCGGTACTGTTCCTGCCTTTGAAGTCTGGGTTTGTGGTAGAGCTGCATGATAGTTTTACAGATTTTGGACATCGACAAAGACAAAGCTAGTCGTCGTAACTCTTGGAAAAGCTCAACAACTGCGCGTCCTTTGCCAAAATTGAACAACTATAACAACTACTACAGTTACTACACAAATCTACATGAGGCCGAACACAAAACATCCCCTCGTTGGGTGCTCGCAAACCTCAACTGTCCCGTATGGATGTGGCCAATGTTGGTTCAACTGTTCCGACTGTTCTGTCCCTGGTCACTCAGGACTCTCAGGACTCCAGACGCCTGATCCACATAGACCGCATGGCCTTGAAATGCCGCATGCAGCTGACAGCTTTTCACAAATGAGACCATGGAGAAGTGAAACCAAATGGGCTCCGGGTGTTTCATAGCATTTGTCAGTGGAAAGAACCTATCAATACCTATCACATCTATCAATATCACCTATCTGATCCGCTTTGAGCGAAATGGTCATAGCTTCTCCGGTCACATTTCATTTTCGAGATCGACAAGTGCGAAGCAAAAGTTTTCTGTACTCAGGGTTTGCACAGGACCAAAGTGCAATCTACTGACCAAATTGCAAGGGCCACACTATTGCATGGTAGATGTAAAATATGCAAAATAAACTTCAGCTAAGCCTACGGGGCCTACCGGCTGGCTTTCGCAAAAATAGTACGGTGAACAAGACCTGGACATGCCATGACGGACACGTTTTGCATCGCGGAATCGCGCACCATCACAGAGGGACTTGGATATCGGCAGTATGGAGCAGTGCTGTGGCTAAAAGTGGCTAAACGATAATCCAAGTCCCTGAGACAGAAGCTCTGCTTGTCAGCTGTCCCTCTTGCAGAGCCTCTAAGATGTCTGCAGTGAAACGGCCAAAGGCCCTGATCAAAGCAAAACAATGCAAAAACAACACAGCATCCTCCTCCAAGCAAGGAGTCCGCCTTGGTCGCCTGCAGAGAATCTTCACTGCCAAAAACAGGCCAAGATATCAAGTGCAGAG